CGGCCGAGGGCACCGCGATGGGTCGGATCCTTGGGCGCCTCCTTGCCCAATGGCCGGCGGATCGCCACCGGCGCTCTCTGCGGATGGGCCGCGGGCTTGGCGGGGCAAATGCTCGATCGCTGCGAGGTGGGCACGTTGGTTTTGCTGGGGAATCGGCCCCAGGCGGCCCTTGGGTGTCCGATGGAGGTGCGGAGGCGGAATGGGTCACAACTGTACAGCAACAGGCTCACACGGCTTCCGCAGCCCCGCACATTTGGGGTTCCTGCTCAGACACTACAACAACAGCAGAATTAATGTATCGTCGTCCCAATGTACTTTGTTCACCACCAGTCCCCACATACTGGCCCAGTACTGGCCCAAACGCGTGTAAAATATAAGTAAACACCCAGAATTGACAAGCGCGTTTTGCCCCAAGTGGGAACACAACACCACACGTGTGGAAACGCCACCACGAATGCGGCCAAGGTGACACGATGTTGCACATCTTCATCGATGTTTGTTCTGTTGATACACAAATCTAACAATTGGAGCAAATCACGCGAGCTGTCCTGAGAAGCGATTGGGAGGACATGAGGAAGTCAAAGGAGTAGGAGGCAGCAAGGCTGGACCGCTCAATACTTGGGCGACGCGCATCTTGATAGAAGAGGGGGGCGTCGAAGATTATGTCTTCGTTGAATCTGGAATAGCACGTGGTGGTGAATGTTTGTCCAGACTCTTGAGGTTTCCTGTCAGCGACCACGTGTCGACTTTGGCTGTGGTGACTCTGATTGTCTCTTTTCCCTGCAGGTGAATGTTTGTCCAGACTCTTGAGGTTTCCTGTCAGCGATCACGTGTCGACTTTGGCTGTGGTAACTCTGATTTTCTCTTTTCCCTGCAGGTGAATGCTTGTCCAGACTCTTGAGGTTTCCTGTCAGCGACCACGTGTCGACTTTGGCTGTGGTGACTCTGATTGTCTCTTTTCCCTGCAGGTGAATGTTTGTCCAGACTCTTGAGGTTTCCTGTCAGCGATCACGTGTCGACTTTGGCTGTGGTAACTCTGATTTTCTCTTTTCCCTGCAGGTGAATGCTTGTCCAGACTCTTGAGGTTTCCTGTCAGCGACCACGTGTCGACTTTGGCTGTGGTGACTCTGATTGTCTCTTTTCCCTGCAGGCACCTAGTTGGTTGATACCCAGGCGGGCCCGTAGAATTTGCGAATTCATTCATTCGTATACGCCAAAGTTTCCACCTCGGGTGGGGGCTTCGCGCCTGGGCTTATAGCGTGTCTTTCTAATCAGAAGAGTCGTACATCCTCCGTCAAGATTAATTGTTCTCTTTGAGTTTGGTCAATATATATAGCATTCTTTGAACTTCAGTTTGGCAGCGAAATTCATCCAGTGTTGTGACCGTGAGTTGCGAGTACACAGTCGACAAAAGAAGTGAACACATTGAGAATTATGGACCTGGCGGCCCCCTTTAGCAAGTGTGCTAAGGACCAAAAAGCCGCCATTGCACCATCCGAGAGCGCGCCACTCACCTTGCAATGTCCGCTCGCCTCGCTGGGTGGCAGCTCCGCTGAGAGCTTGCCCTTGTGCGGTTGATCTTGCCTTGCTGCCCCAATTGCGAGCGTTGATCGGGGAGGGGGCAGGGGCCGTCGAGCTGCTCTTACAACGGCAGTATCCGCACTGGACAGCTGTCAAAGTGGAGGCCACGGCCGAGGAGGCGGCGGCCGAATCGCGCATGCGCTTCTGCAAGACAAGCATGCCCATGCTGGAGGGCGCCAAGAAGTGTTACCAGTGATCTGCACCCCTATCCTTGCGATCGTCGTTGTGGAAATCCAACAAAAGACACACCGTCATATTGCTGGTGGCACCGATCTGGAGCAATTCCCTGCGCTAGCACGTTTTCCTATCTGGTCTACGCAGATGCTCAGAGTTCTGGGAAGAGCGCTGTGCTCCGACAGCTGAGACAGCTGAGCCTGTCAAGCGATACTGCGGATGTTCCGCCGTTTTGACAGGGGAGCACTCCTATAAGAGATCGGAAACTTGTGACCATTGTACCGTTTTGCAAAAAATCAAGCCGTGGCGCTCAAACGGGCCCAAGGCACATTTGTGTGAAACGGGAGGGTGCATTTAGCGTCTGGGCTCCAACTCAATGTGCGTGCAGGTGGGTGGGTGGGACGTGCGATAGGGTGGGCAGCTGGGGTTGGGGGAGGGAAGGGGGAACCGCCTCGCTGCTGAAACGAACATAGTGCAGGGAAAATGGGGTGTTGTCTGAAACTGACGACAGGCCTGTCAAGTAGACAGAAGCCTGTCGCCATTGGCGGCAAGGGCGACGAATTTTATCCCCGGCCCAGCCCTGGGAATTACATTGCAACTCACGCGCAACCAGCTTAGACAGGAAACATGGAGCTCGTGCGTTGGCTTAATATCTGACAGTCATGGGATGGCACGGGGAGAGCCAGAGAGCAGGGCACCGTGTGTGTGTGTGTGGGGGGGGGGGGGGGCGCTCTGGAGGGCCACTGGTAACAGCTGACCGCAAGGGTTGCCAGGGACGTGCAAACGGCACATCCACCAGGACGCATGGAACAAGTAATCAGCGAGGTGTCGCATCAATGGTTGTGTGCCCTTGCCATACAGGAGGCAGATGCATGGCACATGACGACAAACTCCAGTGCTTGGAGCGCAACTTCAAGTCGTGCTCTAACGCGCGTGCGACCACACTTGCTCCCAATCCTGGGATTGGTGCCAGAGTGGCGGCGACCGCAGAAAGTCCAACACGCTGGAGTTGCGAATCAATTGACCCTTACACGCTCGATTGACGCCCCTCAACGGTGCCTGTACAGGGCCCCACGCACGGGCTGTGCCACCCTGATACAATGCCCACGAAACTATCACCTACCCAGATGAATGACCATACAACACGCTATATAGATTCTCAAGTCCAACAGTATGTGATGCAGCCTCGCAGGGGAGGCACAGCTGCTATCAAACATCAACGTCTCACCCCACACACCATTGTGTGCAAAATGCACTCCTTCAGCAAGTGACCAAAACTCCCATGGTATTTGCAAAACCACACACGTCGGCATGTGATGCCCGTGCCAAAGGGCTCACACTGCCCACAGTCTATGCACAGAACCTGATGGGACCCCACTGGGCCCAATCTGAGGCCTCCCATCTGTCCAATGAGCCAGAGCATGCATTTGGGTTGGCAGCATAACTGCATGATGCAAACATTCCTCACTGTCTGCTGCTGAGTGTTGACGCAAAGTCATCAGCCTTTGCCGCTCACACCCAACCGCCAATCGGGCGGATGCACAAGGCAATTGGGGCAGTGCCTATGTCACTCACTAAGAAGTCCACTGCTCCCTGGTCGATGGAACCAATGGCTGGACAATCGATTGGCCTGTTCTGCCTCCTGTTGGCTCCAGGAACGACTCTCAAGTGCAAATGGCTTCAGCTGGCACCAAACACCATCGACAGTTATGGGTGACGGCATCCATTGCCATCCTATGCCAATACAGTGCGCCAATATTATCCCCAAACACACTCGATCTCACCAAAATAGAGGCAATGCCAACCGACAAGTATCCTCACAGCCATATGTCAAGTTGTTTTGGCCACCTGCCAGACAATTGGCGCTACCACACTTGCACATGCAGGTTTTCTGCCTAAAAGTACTGCACTGTATGCTCCACCCAGCAACAGGTAGCAAGCCTGAGGTAGACTGCATGAAGGGGCTTGCACCTTGTTGAAAAATGCATAAGTGCTGTCAAGTGCCCTCTATCGCCATCAATGAGTAGAGGCCAGTCCTGGGATTGACCCCTGGTGGCGAACTGACAACAACAGGTGGCACAATCGCCGATGGGCTCCTCACTGCCAGACTTGGCTACAACCAGGAATACGTCCAGATAAAATATCACAACGACCCTATTCCCTGGACCTCTACACGATGAAATCCAAACAACAAGATCCCAAGAGTAAAAGCTTTCAAAGGATGTGCATTCACAGGTGAAATGTCAGTACTAGCTCGTACATGTGGTTATTCTAATGATGGTCACTATTTGGGTGTTCAGCTTTTTGAGTTTCCGATTGCTTTCCAGCTGGGTACACCTCCATACAATCGGGCACAGTCACACAGCCTTCCAACAGTGTCTGCAGCATGCCTTCTCAAGCACCAGCTGCTATTTCAGACCTGTGTGGCGTTTGCAATACTCCCAGCCAGCACATCTCCTCCAAACAAATGGCCTGCATGCCTGTCAAGTGTACGAAACCCAAGTTTGGACAATGGTGCAAAAGCGATGTGGGAGGCAAAAGCCACACCAGCTTCCATGGCAGTCCTGATGTGACAACAAACAGGAGGCGAGTAGCACAAGCGCCTCAGTGGCCACCCAGCCATTGTCAGTGAACTCCCCTAGATGAACAACCCCTAAAACCAACAGGTGCCCACAATCGAAAGGCACCATGAAAACAAACGCAATCCAAGCACTGGTGACTATTCCTGCTCTACACCTGCATGCTGACCCAGAAATTGCCCAACCAAGAATTGGTCCCAAACATCCACAAAGTCAGGCTTCACATCAAGGGCTCCCCTGGTCAGCCCTGCTTAACCCACTCCAATGCAAAGAGCCTACTCTCAGCCACACCATCCTACATTTTCCAGTGCACATCTCTGCGCTCTTCATCAGGCTGGATTGAAACCGAGAAACATGCATCTTTCAGTTTGCTGCTCAGCTTAGACGCTGCAACCCAAAATTCCGCTAAAATACACACAACCCTTTCAGCAATGCAATTCCCTCAACTGCTTGGCGGCGATCACCAAGGACAGCCCCTGCTGCAAGATATGCTCCCTTGTTCCACGCCGTTGTTCTTATTCTTGGCAATCCCTCCCAGAATTCTCGGTTGAAAAAACCCAACGCGTCCCCAGTGGAGACTTCAATGTGTTCAGTGCCCAAGGCACTTTCAGTTTTAAAGCCATGATGAATTCCGATCAACTTAGCTCCGACGTGACACAATGGGTGTCACAACTCTTCAGGGTCTTTGCCTGGCTCCTGCACTTCGATCGGATCGATTGGACCAACGGGATCGATGGGACCAACGGGATCTCTGCTCATGGAGTCGTCCCTACACACAGAAAGCCAATACCACATCAATCAATCGTATGGGCACACGCAACTGGCACATGCCAAGTGAAGCCACTATACCTTACATGTACTACCCGCATATACTCATCCACACATAACACAAAACCCAAAAGGCCAGGCTGCAACAGCAAAAGGCAAGCTGCAGCACTGCACCTTGCACTCAAGGCAGCCAAGAACACTGCTCTGTGCGCAACGTCATAACTTTAGCAGCAGAGAATGTGCTGTGCTGTAACCAACTACCCTAACCCAACCCTCCTTGGCAACGAATGCTTTGTGTGCATGGCCATGACAGCAGCAACTGAACATATGGCTGGCAACACCCCAACCAGTGCTCCAGCATCACATACAAACAATGACAACTGGGATTTGCAGGATGATCAAAGCTTGCATGCTCACTCCTTGGTTTGACAGCTCTGGTCCTCTTGTTTGATAACTGGTGCTGTGGCTTGGGGCTCTTCAGATGGGTGCTGTGGGCTTGCATTTGACGCCTGCAGCACCTTGTCAACATCCACCTCCAGGTGTGCCAAGGCCTTCCTGAGCGCCTGGAGCAAGCATAACAAGTGGGAAGCCATCAACTTTCCATGCAGGCGAGCTGCGATTCCAACACTGCATCAAGATGCCACAACTGTGCCGGCAATGCATCTAGCATAAACAAAGGTCATGCAATGGGCAGCCCCTTGCCCTCCTAACTGGAAACATGAGTTGGCCCCTTAGTCTCCTCACAGCACAGCAGGTGTTGCGTTGGCAGTGTGTTACTGAGTAGCGAAGTGCATTGAAGACAGCAAATTGTATACTGGAGCATGCCAGTAGGAATGCATTGTCCCCTGTTCCAATTTTGCTTGTTGTGCATGCTCCTTCTCCACCCACCTTGTTCTCCTCCTCAGCTTGCACCTTCGTCTGCCTGAGTTCCTCAAGCTCCCTGGACTTCTTGGACAACTCGTCCTGCAGATCAGACACCAATTGCTGTGCCAAAACACAGAGATGTCAGCCATGGTCTGTTCACTGCTGGAGACTTGGTGTCCAGGTGCATTGAGCACCATCAACTATAGAGGCATCAATCTTTGTGGACTGGATCATTCCAAACACAGCACTGCCTGACTTGCGATGGGGTGATTTCATGAACAGCAGTTGTGCAAAGCTGCTTGTGAAGGCAACGCACCTTTTGCCGCAGCCTGAACCTCTGTTGAGCAATTCTGTTCTTCTCCCTTTTCTTCTGTGTCCGCAGTACCTGCTCCTCCGAGTTGGGTGCCTGCTGAATACGGTGAACATATTCCGTCAACACGCATGCACAGCTGCAAGATCAGGCAACCACTCAAGTAAAGTCCCTCAAGCATCACGCGCCCTACAAGCGGTGCCTTGCCTGAGGGGTCCTGGGCATATGGAGATCTCCATAGTTTGGGCACTTTTCTGCCACATTGGTCCCTGTCCCATTACCTGCATATCAGTGCTGTCAGGGGATCCACCTCCAACGGGCGTCTGCTGCTCAACAGTTTCACTTGGCTGCAAAAGCCCTGTTTTCAACGGCACGGTCCCCAAATCTGCACAATCAAAAAGTGCTGCATCAGGCAAGAGTCAGCCATCCCTACCAAGGATGCGCAACAAACACAAAGCCCTGTAACCTTCACCCCAAAACACGCCCCGCTGTGTGTCTCTCGCGCACATCACCGTGCACGACTTGCACAACACTCTGCCGAAGCATCGCCTTGGGGCTCCAGGCACCCGAGCGAAGGCAAACGGCCAGGCAAGAGTGCCCAAGCAAAAGGCAAAAGGTCCTAAAGGGCCCAAAAGGTGAAAGGACCCATGCTCAGCCCCCGCCCCATCGCCCAGCTAGACCCATTCAGCGGGCCCCGCAACCCGCAAGGGCGCGCCGGCCCCGAGGAATATCGCGCACAGGTCCGCCGCACCCGACAGGGCCTTGTAGTTGTCAAACAGCAGGTTGGAGGGCACCGCCAGCGTTTGCGCCACCTGGTGGCTTTGCATGCCCCCCGTCCCCAGCAGCAGGGGCCCCGGGTTGGGGTGCGCCATCTCCCGGCTCAGGCCCACCAGGCCCGCACCGGGCGCCGCGAAGCCGGCGGTGCCCGGGACCCCCGGCACCAGCTGGGCCGAGGGGCGGCTCAGGGCAGACACGTCGGCGCCCATCAGATTCTGCCCGCCCTGCATCAACTGGCACATGGCCGTCAGCGACCGAACCAGGACGAGGGGCCCATGCCAGCCACGCAAGTCGCGGCGCTCGCGCCACCGTGCGATGGATAAATGTACGTCAAGTACCAGGGCCAGTAAACTGTTGGAGCGCGAGCGGCTCCGCACGGGGCGGAACGGGACGGGGCGGGGGGCAGTTGTCCAGGGGGGGTATGGGAGATCGCAGGAGCCCGTCCGGGGGTCGGCCAACGCGCAAACCGAGCCGGACGTCCGCGGGCACGGCGGATCACGCGCCATCGGGGACATCGCGGGGCCATCGCGGTGCGGCGGCCGCCCGCCGGCCGCATCGGGGCGCGACCGCACCGCCCGCCGGCACCGCTCACCTGCATCGGCATGTCGCCCGAGTGCAGCCTCGATCGGAGCACCAGGAAGCGCAGGTCGTCCTCCGAGAAGCCGGTCATGTCCACGTCCGGAGCTATGAGATGCGGCGCCACGCCGCCGGGGCCAGCCGTCACCCTGCAGGCGCCGTACGGCCACGCGCACCGCGTCAGCCGATCACCCACCCACCCCCGCCGCGCTCATCCCCCTTCCGCCGATGCAAACGGCAAGCCAACGAGGTGCGGGCGCACAGAAGGCGCCCACCGGCCGCGATCGAACATGCGCCCCCGAGCGCAGGACAAGCCGCCGATCGGGCCGCCCCCCCCGCCCGACGCACCTGTCCATCTCGACCACGGGGATCGCGCCTCCGAGCCCCGGCAACTCCCGCCCGCGCGTCTCTCCTCCCCAACGCCCCTTCCCCGATGCGCCGCTCTCCCTCGCGTCTCCTCGCCGCCCCGACCTCGCCCGCTCCGCCGCCCTGGCCGGCCCTGCGCCACCGCCTGTGTTACCTTAGGACCGACCGCCGCCCCCGCAAGTCAGCGTCCTTCTTACTAACCCGACGGCCCCGGGGGCGGCCAGGAGTAAACGCCGCCAAACGGGGTGGCCTGACGCCCACCAGCACCCCAGCGCCCACCCACCGCTGGCGCCTTTCAGCCGCTCGGCGGCCGCCGCGAGGCCTCCCGGGGATTTTCGGATAAGGGGCCGGGCGGCGCAGGGGCCGTGCGGGTGGCACCAGGCGCCCACTGGCAAGCCGCAGCCCGGGGTACGCGCGAAGACCGCCCGAAGAGCATCCGGGGTGGGATTTCGTCGGGCCGCGGATGGCGCCGTCAAACGCCATTTTGAGCGTCCCCGTCAGAGATCGGTGGCCAGCGGGGCCAGGTCCGCCAAGCCCGACCAGGCGCCGGAATCCCCCAGAACTTGCCGCGTTGACGCCGTGGTCACGTAAACCCCAGCGCCTTGGACCTGCCGGGTTCGGGACGCCGGGTGCCAGCGCTCGGTACGCTCTGCGGGCCACCTGCGGTACGCCCTGTACCGTTTGCGTAATGATGGGCCGCCCCTCTCGCCCTGCTTCGCCCTCTTTCCGACATGTCCGACCGCACCTGGCCCCCCCAGAGGATCATGCGACTCGAGTTCGACTGCGGGCGGCGCCGACAGTGCGAGCGCCCTCAGGCGCCGCCCCAATTGTCCCGTCGGGCCCGTCCGAACCGCGAGGGTCCCTCCCCACCGGTGCCGGGGCCCCAGCCCCCCACCCCCCGTCCGGGAAGTCCGTCACCGCCAGTGTTGGCACAAAACCCGGAAGGACTGGCGTGTGGTGGCGATCGACGGCGTGTGGGGGCGAGATGGGGGGATGAGCAGGGGGAGGGGGCGGCAGTCGGACAGCAGAGGGACTTCTTGGATAGAACGGCGCCAAGGGCGTGGGAAATTGCGCTTGCCAGAGGCGGCCGTCAACAGTCCCCCAGTTGCGACCAGCCACGTCGGCGCTCACCGCCGTCCCGGGTGAGAGAGATCCGAGTTTAGATCCGTAGGAAAGCCGGCGATCGGGGGGTGCCTGCGCTGGTCAGCCAGCGGCGCTCGACAGGCGCATCCCCCACCGCACGCGGACGGGTGTGGATTGCGGAATGTGGGCGGAGGATTGAGGCCGCAAGGCACTGGTGGTGTTCCGCAAGCCAGGAGTCCTTCACTCGCAAATGCAATTGCCTCCCTCGGATCTTTGTGACGATTGTTGGCCGCCCAACGGCACACGCCAAGCCCGATGTTTGCCCACCTGCGGCTCCTCGCTGTCCACGTCCTCGCAGGGCCACGTCCCCTCAGAGCGCCGCCCCGGCCGTTTGGGCTCCGTCCCAATCCCTGGGCGATGCCTTTTGTGGGCGTGCGAGCTTGATTGGCGGTTGCCCCGCCTGCCCCACCTCCACGATTGTGACCTACCTACAACTGGCTCTGTAAGAGTCACGTCTAGCGGACCCTGCCACAACCACAATCTCGGAGATGTACTGTACGATGCAGGTACGGCAGATCTGGCTGCTGGTGGGCGCCTGTGGAGATTTAACGTAGCGTGCGCCGCACATGGCGTAATGTCCGTGGTAGATTTGTCACAGACAAGTCGGAAGGCTTCAAAGGTTCCAATGGTGCGTTTTGTTTTAGGCCATTCCTCACTTTTTAAGACGGAAGTCACCGTTGCCGAATCAGGAATCTGGCTTTTCTGTCCATTCGCTTTTTCTTTGTGTTGGGCTTTAGGGGTTTTGTGGACGAAAGAACGCAAATACATTTGTTTGCGTTGGTTCTGAATCGCTAAAAAGATTTAGAACAAACAGTTTGGGCAGATTTACGCCTGTCAGTGCTTGTCAGGTGCAAGGAACGTGCTTTGTCCTTACTAGGTTAATGTCATCAAAAGATTTCGACGAATATTGTGCATGGAGCTTGGGCCAAAATGGCTTGGTACGATATTCAATGTTGTGTGGCGCAAGCATCCGCACTTTTCGGCGCAAAAACTGTTCGATTCTTTACGCAGCACAGCTTGGCTTCGGTACAAGATTCACTTCCATTTTTGATGAGCTACAGAAATCCCTTGTACCCGTATCTTTTCCGCGTAGTACTTAACGTGCCTTGGGCCTCAAAGCCAACCCATTAAAAAGCCTCGCGGCCACATTTTCTGCAAAAAAGAATCCAGCAGCGTGCACTGCCACGGGGGGCGTGCCACCTCAGCAATTGACAGCCTGGCCGCCCGCCTCCCCTCCTGCCTTCCCCCACCCACCCGCCCGCTCCAGGCCAGGCCCCCCGATCAGCGGCCCGCGGCTGGAGAAGACCAAAGCGCGGTGTCGGCCTCGCAACCAGCTACCCGCATCCGATCACCCGACTGACCGGCTGACGCCCATGCACCCACTGGAGCCGGGGCGCGACCAACCGCCCAACACGCCCCTCAGGCTGATCAAGCCCACGGGGATGCAATTCGCGGGGGCGCTGGGCGGATCGCCGGTGAACTCCAGGCGCTCCAAGAGCGCCTCGCCGAGGTCGGCATCGTGGGGGAAGGGGGACGGGACACCTCATCAGCTCCACGGGAGGGGCGCTACGGGGCAGTTGGCTCTGTCCGTCGAAGGCGGATTCAAACAGAGGGACCTGGCTCCCTCTTTTGAAGGCGGATTCAAACAAAGGGATTTGGCAGAGTTGTGCAGCCCGCCGCCCGGCGCCGAGGGCAGGCGTCCGTCGATCACGTCGATCGTCGGTCGATCGCCGTGGCGGAGGCACGCGTCCAGCACGGGCTTCCCACTGCGCAGGTACGCCGAGGAGGGCGTCGGATCAAATTCGCCAGGCTCGACGAGCCGATCACCCGACGACGGCCAGCCGGGGGGAGCGGCGCCGGTATGGGGGCCGATTTTGCGCGGTGCGGCTGACGTGTGTGATCGTGGGGCGGCTTCTTTGCGCTGGCCTGGGGGGTCTGTGGCATCCGCATCTTTTGACGGGGGCCATCTCTCCGGTGATGAGCGGCAGAGGGAGCAAGAGGGCGCCCACGACCGAGGGGACTGGGAGCTGGAATCGGCGGGTGGGTCGAGCCCCGACGGGCCTGCAGTCCAGAGCGCCAGTAAGGAGGGGCCCGTGCCGGACATATGGGCATTGACCGAGGAAAACCCCGAGGGGGAGCAGCCGCGCTTGGCCTATGACGGCGCGACGCCCAGGAGCCACGCTGGAGCAACGCCCAGGAGTCGCGCTGGGCAGTTTTCGGGCAGCGGAGCGTCCCCCATCGGGCGGGAGAGCGGAACTTCGGAAGGGTTGGGAATTTTGGAGGGCGAAGAATTTGGCGGGGGGCTTGACCAGCAGGTCCTTGGCGCGCCTTTCCTGGCGAGTGGAGATTTCCATCAAGGTGAGTTCTCTTGGGATGGGGAGGCACTGAGCACCCCCTGTGCATCCCCGAGCTCGGGACGCAGAGCCTCTGAGAGTCAGCAGGGAAGCAGCCCCCACACGGCGAGGAGTACGCCGTCGAGTTTTGCCAGCACGGTGGGGGAGACAGAGCCACCGCAAAAGCATGTGCGCCCAAGGGGCGTTTACAACAGAGGCGACGCTTCTCTGACGGTGAGCAAACTGGGACAGAGCTCAGATGCTCTGTTGTTGACTACTTCCAGATTTTAGTTTAGTATGTTGTGCAAAACTGCAGCACCAACTCGATGCCACCAACTGGCCAGAGTCTGCTGGTATGATGACACACGATGGGGAATGGCATTGAGGTGCGGTTCTTTGACCTCGTTTGTCAAGCATTGACAAATAACACCCGGGCACATACAGGCCAGTGAAAGGCAAAGGATCGGAGGTGGTCAAGACAAAGGCAGTTCAACTGATGTGTTGGGCCTGTCTGCCAGCTGGGCAGCAGCTGCCCTGACTCACACCTGTTGGAATCAATTTGAATCAAGCTGCAAGTTCAGTTCCCAGAACAGGTCCCTGTTTTCTTTCATCAGGCTGACTGGCAACACCAGGGGTTTCCAGACGACGCTGGAGTGGAAGGAAAGGCTGAGGAAGGGAGAGGATGGGATGAGGCCTCCCTCTCCATGGTTGACAATTCCTGGATCGTGAAACATCGCTCAACGTCGCCACAAGAGAAAGAAGTCTCTGACAACAGCCTGGCAGGGTTGGTGGCTGGCTTGACAGCTAAATTCAAACTCGGAAGGGGCCCTGCAGGTGTCACGAGAGAGAATGTCAACTCACAATCTGATACCAGATCACAGCCAAGCATGCATGGTGGGTGGCTCTAAGCACCCCACAACCAAGGACTGCACCAGTGCTGTTCTGTGACCCATCCTTTCATTGCCAAAGGCAGCTCCAACTTCCACAGCATTCGCAACAGTGCAAGTCCACATGCCAGTGTTCACGCCATTGATCAGATGCCCCTAGGTTGTGGTGGGTTTGCAAGCACCAGGGACTCCAGGAAATCCTCTACGCAAGGTCGTCCTAGCGACATGGGTGAGACCAGTGCCCAGGAAACAAAGCATCTCACCCATCAACTTAGATATTGCGACTTCGGAAGGTCGCTGTGTCTTCTGCGCAGGCAGCTGCCTCTCGTTCTCTCCTGTACTTCTTGGTGTTGCCTCTGTCCTGTTGTATTGCGACACATGCAACACAGAGTGTCGACACCGAGCCTGCACGTTTGGCGTTGACGGTAGACAGCATCGCGACTCCTTCCCGCGACAACACGCCACCCGCATGTCCACGGGCGGGAATACGATTCCCTAAGCCTGCGTGTCGTGAAGCTGCTGCAGCAGCGTGGCAGAAAACGCACGGGAATTGGCATGGCGACCAGCATCCTAGAACCACATCATCCGCGTTGCTGCCGTTGGACATTATCACAACGCCATGGCACCGAAACCATTACGTTAGGGCATGAAACAAACTAACCAAACGCTACGTGGATCCTCTGCGCTCTTCCCCGACCAAGTGCAAATTTTGCACTGCAAAGTGCAAACTTTGCACTGCAAAGTGCAAGAGTTGCATGACCGCGAGATGCGCACAAATGCACGTGCACCATGCATGGAATTGCGCGCAGCCCTGCTGCAGCCGGTTCCACTATCTGATCATCCACATCCCTGGGTTGTGCTCATCCAATAGTGACCCCGTTCACAGCGCTCTTAGAGTGCCGATGAATGCACTTCAGCCAGGCGATGTGCAGAACTTCCTGATACTGTTAATGGGGCGCTCACAATGCGGTCCATCTGACAGGGTTGAGACGTGACTTCCGTGGAGCAACTCAACTGTTGAATCCGTGGTAGCCATTGAACACAGGATTTGCAAACAAACGGGCACGAGGGACAACCCCTGCACATTACGTCGCGCTGTACGTTGCCACCATACATGACATCTCACACGTGCGTTCCACCGTATATTGTCATCGTGTTGCATCACACTTGAGCCGGCACGGGTGTTCTTACTCGTGCTGCAACACATTGTAAGTTCCACTTGGAATCATTCCCGCACATGCAACTATTCTGGTACGAAACACTGACGTTTGCTGTTGGCAGCCTCTGTGGCCAGTCAACCGTGTCCGTCGTCTGGACGGAAGTCTGTCGTCAACTCCGACAGCAGTGCATCGGGCAGTCCGGAGGGAGCCACATTTCTGCAAGCTTCGACCCGCGGGGAGAGGCGCCGTCACGCCACCCCGACAGAATGGGAACATGTGAACAGGGCGTTGCAGAAATTGGGCTTTGAGAGCCTGCATCCGCACAGCGAAGGTACAACGTGGTACACGCGGTCGAACTTGAATGTTGCCGCAGCAGAACTGCCGTTCCGTGCGTCATGTCCCCATGATACTCTGCGACATATTTCGGAAAATATACGCGATCCATCAAGTTTGCTGTGGGATTTGAAATCGCAAGAAAATTTTCCAAGATAACAACTGTGCAGCGTTGCCATGCCCGATGCCCGTGAAACTGGGCTGTTAATCAAGAATTCTACCGTTTGAAAATGTCAATTGTGTTCCATTGAGGGAACGTTGCTCGCTGCGCCCTCTCGGTTGCACCTGACAAATTGTGCTTGTTTGCCACGCTAGACAACCTCGCTCATCAGCGCGCACTCGAATCAGAAACATTATTGAAGTCAACTTAAATTTGAGCGGATGCACACGGCACCACAAGAATACGCCGGCGCGAGAGGATCATTATGCGAGTGTTTCTGACGACAGCATGTCACACTGCTGGGGATGTAGCCACTGACATCATCATGTTGAAGAACTTGTAACTTGAGTATAGCGAGTCCACGTCTTTGAGCTCGCCATGCAAAAGCGGAGATTCGCGCAGACTTTGCACAAATTGACTGTGAACTCACCGGTGGAGCAGCGCATGGGGCGCGGCGGTGTTAATAGTCGTACATTGCGCGATTTCTGCACAACATTTCCACAGATCTATGCTGCTGTACATAATTTCAAAATGATTGCCTCAGCTCGTTCTTATATGAATGCAGAAGGGAGGGCATTGCTACATGGTGAGGCGCTCACTAATCATCACACAACACATGTTACCGTGGATGCCATAATCATGCAGTGCACTGCCCACTTTGGGGTGTAACCAACAGAGCCTCAGCTGTCGCCGCCAATTATTCAGGACTCGCCGTTGGTATCTATTTGACCCCAGCAGACTCCAGAACCCTGTTGTGCTGCAGCCCCTGATCCACGAAAGACGCAATCCACATCCGTGATCTGAGCAAGGCAGAGATGACACGCTTGGGAGGTCAATTTTTAGCGTGCATGAGTCATTCTGAATTCCGTATGGCGCCTCGCGTCTCCAGGTGGCCATGCGCAGTCCAGTTTCCTAGCATCCTGAAAGGCGGAAAATTTTACATAACACAGACCTGTTTCCTATTTACCGGTCTCCCTCGCAATGTGCAGCCTCGCGCCCCTTCGCCTTTCACAGGCGAAATGGACGCCATTTGGCATCGCCCTTGTACCCTTTTGCACGCATTTGTTGTGAGAGTCGCCCACCCAGCTGCAAGGCAAGCATCCACCCACGTGAGTTATAGCTCACCAGAAGCCCTTGATATGAAGGACGCCAACCAAGTTCCTCACCTCCAGTCGTGTTGGCCACAGACACTTCGGTTTTGTTGGCCGCCCTTGCTTCTGTCCTTGATGCATACGAACAGAAGGAGGCCTCTGTCCGGCAGATGCTGGAGGCCAATGAGCGAGCGAGGCAGGAAGAGCAACAGTTGCGGCAGGAATTGAGGTCCGAAGCACTCCAGTGTCATGATCAGGATCCATCCCTTTTACGGAAAATTTCCTCTTGTTTACAAAAGCTTCACGAGCATATGCCCTCGTTCTTGGCAAATCGGAAATCTCCATGTCGCACATGGGCATAAACTGAATTCATCGGTGCGAATGGCCTCCGATGTGATGAAAAACGATTGGAGAAACTGCGCGCGCTCCTCAGTTCCGTGCGGATCGAGACGAATTGCAATGTGGCCGACATCCGGAGCACATGAGCACTTGTTATTGGCGCGTTCAGGAAGGCTCGGCACGAGCGCAGAGAAGCTGAGAAACTAGCTGGCAGCATTGGTGCCCAGTCCGAGCGCGAAAAGGAGAGGTCATTCAGGAGGGCAACTCGGGCGGCTGCACACACACAGAGACTTCGCACCGACACCACCAAGTTTCAAGAGGATGTTTCGAGATTGGAGCAGCAAAACAGGCAAGATCCCATTGTTCACAAGGAGGAAGCGGCACATCCCGAATTGGCATGGAGAGCAGGGTTGCTGCTTCACTGAGGCAACTTCACAATGTAGTGGTGGGCGAAATGATTTCGTTCAAGCGCACTCAGCACAACCAGCGCCTGGTTTAGAGCAATCTGCCACAGTGGCTACTCTCTATGCGCAGTTTCGCGAAGCTGGGCATCGATTGCATGTCTGCACCATGAGTGACAGTTCCTCTACAGTTTTGATTTCCAAGATCTGCAATGCGAGGGAAGCGAGACAAAGCGCTCGCTGTGGGGACAGCGCCTACGAGCCGTATGGGCTGCAACCCAGGACTGCATGTCTTCTGTTGGCGTTGCATCATGCGTGCGTCATAAGACGTCGGCGTTGAATTCGTCGGTGCAATGATCGCGCAGCAAGTACCAGAAATCGTCGGCTTTCGCACCGATAGACCACTAATTGGGGAAGTTTGCTGTGCCCTTCTGGACTATCGGTTTCCTCTGAGGAACGAACAGTGACTTGGAGCAGGGCGAAAGACGCCGAATTGGATTCGCTGAGGCACGCGGTACAAGAGGCTGGGAAAGAGCACGGACGTATGGAAGCCGCGGCGAAGGACGCTCGCGGCATCAGGAAGCGATTGGAGATCCAAGTTCAGGAGCAATCACGCCAGATTCATGCTTTGCAGAGAACAAACAGGTAGTATTGTAAGGCATTGGGTTGGGCTGGCTTGATTTGGCAGAAGCGCCTTGCGCTGTTTTCAGGGAATGCATCGCAACGAAGCACACAGTCACGTCGATTCAGTCAATCGCAGTGCATAATCTGGCGGAAAGCCGTTGGAGTCGGTGTTGTGGAGCGTCGCCCACAGCACGGCAATGCGCCGCATTCCTTTGAAAATTTTTGGCGCTCCATTCCTGACGTGATGTTTGACCTGCCCATCGCAGACGTTGTAGCTAATGCACTCATTTAATGCCGACACTGCGCGCTTGCAAATTCAATTTGACATTGGCTTTGGCAAGGTATATACTCGCCTGTCGATCAATTAGACGCATCAGATCGACATTTGTGGCTGAACTGTCACTGACTGAAAGACGTATGGATAAAGGAGATGACCCGCCGCGTGTGCGATTCATCATTTGCGATCCACTTTGGCCGGAACAAAAGTCGTTGTATTGCTTCACTGGCGCTGCGTAAGCATTGTTTGAAGCCCATAGTGTCGGAAAGAAGTTGCACATTCAGGATACACATATCCTGGGTATGGCAATATTAACAATATGGGCGCCATCTCTCAAATACGCACTTCCTCAAAATGGGCATCCAGGATACGGCCACTCACATCCAGACTACAGCCATAGCGTGCCACCACATGCCCAGACTTTCTACCTAGGAAATGCATATGCGGAATATGGCGCTCACATCATGACCCACGCCCAGAACATGGTTACCCATATCCAGGGCATGCGGCTTTTTGCCGAGAATGTGTGGTTAACTCCAAAATTGTCGGCACTTTATTGGAGCTTTTCCCTCTGTAGAATGTCGATAAGGCGTTGATTATTTGCAGGTCCGCAAGAACTGGTGTGCCACTAGATACCACACCTTTTGGTGTAAATACGAATCAACGCACCGCGTTGCAGGGAAAACAAATCAGAGTTGGACTCATTAAGGGGATCGATCGAGGTCGCCGCGCCGGTGCCACAGCCGAGGGACAGCGAGGCCACGAGAAAACTCGAGGCCGACGTGCGAAGGCTGACGCAACAACTGCGGGAGGTCGAGCAAGCCAGCAAGAAGGAATTGGCAAAGATGGTGGACAGCTTCAACGCCGCGCAGAGAGGCAACGAGGCCGCGGAGTCCCAGGCGGAGAAGGCGCGGGCGCGGGCGGGCAGAATGGAGGCCGAGACCAGGCGGCTGCAGCACCACATAGTCGAGCTTGAGCGCGCGTGCCGCCTTAAGGAGGAAGAGGTGGGTCGGGTGCTGCCATTGTGGATCTGGTGGCTGAGTCATCGCCATGGTGCGCGATTTTCTCCCTGATGACGATGAGGAGATCTGATGTGGTGCATTCCATGACGAACTGCCGATTCTGATGATGATGGTGACCTCCTATGAATGCTGTGGGATCTGCTATGATATATAGCAGAGCCTGGTGCCTGTTGCATCTGATTCGGGGCCATTTTTTTAAAGCAGCCAGCGGCATCTCCCAGCGTAAACGAAACCAGTTGTTTGCTGTACTGGCGATGCTACACAGTGATGGGAGACCCAAGCCACTTTCAAACGTAAGGACTGATGCGCTTCGCAGCTTGCATGACACCTGTGCCCTTGGGTCGCTCATTCCAGGCTGCAGGGCTGCAGCAACAGGTCAGGGAATCGAGCAGGGAGCACTCGGACGCCGAGGGGCGATACATCCAGGCCAGCAAGCGGTCCATGCACCTTGAATCCGACATGAGCTCCTTGAGGCACCTCCTGGCGGCTGCGGAGGAGAAGATTAGGGAGAAGGAGCGGGAAGTGGTGGTGTGGGAGGATCGCGCGCAGCAGTGGGGTAGGCAGCTTAGGGACGCCGAGGAGAGGGCACGCAAGGCAGACAGTATGGTCGGGAAGGCCGAGTCAGAAGCAGCGCAGGCGAAACAGCGTTTGCTGGAGATGGAGCAAGACATCAGGTGACTCAAAAATGTCCGGACCCTCCATTTCTGGACCTGAAGTTATGAAGTCGTGAAGGCCATGATGGTCATTTTCGGGTTTATTGTGTTTTTGGGTTCTAGGATTTTGGGTCCCCACTAGCCTTTACGACCTCTTTATGACCTTGATGTCGGGCGATAGCAGATACCGTATGGTCCCCTTGGATTTCTTCTGCTCTGCCCTCGTCCGCAGCGTAACCTGGTGGAGTTCGATTCGAACAAGCTTGTCATTTGCGCCGTACACACGTATCTTATTTACGTTTTTGCGCATAAAAACGAGTAGAAATGCTTAAATACAACGTGTATACACGCCTGTGAACATAAATACCGTGCATATAGACTTCCGGGGTCCGGGGAGTGGCAGCCAGTCGCGACAAAGTTGGCAGAAAGCAAACTTTCGTTTGACGACATCGTTGTCCTTGCCGAGGATGAAGTGGACGCCTTGTTGCGTATGCTCGAGGGGGCGGAGGATTGACCATGACAAGCGATTTCCATCGTGTTGCCTACGTGTCCCAACGAAATGTTAAAGCGCAAATACAGCCTCAAAATAGCGCCTTTGCAATTTTAAGTTTTTGCCCGCCGAAACGCAAACACGAAAACGCAAACGTAAGCGTAAGCGCAAAACGTAAACGAAAACATAAACGTAAACATAAATAACAAACCTGGATTCGACGAATAAATGGACATCAAAAGAACAGCAGAACTCAGAAGATCTACATGGTGTATGTGCGCATTTGGCACGTCATTGCACAGGCGCAAATCGGGCAAGTGACCATGGGATGGTTGCGAACACACGGATTGTTCCCTTTGCCCTTCGCTGAATGGACAGTGGCCAGTCCATCAACGCTTGCATTTCTGCGCTTCGGTACATCCGTCGATGCGTATCGTGGCATGTAGAAACTCCGCATGCAGGGCTCCATATACCACATGCGCAAAGTGTGCCTTCTACGGATGACACATCGCCGGCATACGATTCTTAGGAATCACCTCGAGCACGGCCACGATATGATTCGTTCACTCTGTTATTCCCCAGGTCCATGAATCTGCCAATAAACAATTAAGCACTCAATTACATGGGGCAACGCATCAGCAAACATTCTAATAACATGGGACATTGCAGGAACAAACATTCCACCTCCCAAAACATTCCGTTGTTTTAGTGGCGGTCATTGTGTTCACGTGGAACAAGAGAGGCTGCGATGCTTCCCAATCGCAGGGTGAAGACCGACGACCTGGCGCGCCTGGCGAGCGAGACAGCAGAGCTTCGAGGCCAGTCCGCCGACGCCAACATTCTGGCGGACCGCAAGTCCCAGGAGCTGCAGGGCTTGGAGAGAAGCGCGCAGCACTTGAGGCAGGCCAACGCGCAGCTGGAGCACCACTGGCGCTCGCAGGAGCGCGAGGCAGACAAGCTGAAGGCGAGGCTGGCGGAGAAGGTGGCCAGGGAGGAGAGGCGTGTGCGCCGCGACAAAGATGTGTACGATCGGCTCAGGCGGGCCCACTCGTCCTCCAGGAAGGGGCTGGCTGGAAAGGCGGGGGCTGGTGCGAACTGGGGAGATATATTGTTGTTGTCGATTGTCGAACAAATCGTTGCTGTCACTGCAGTGCATGACGTCGCTGGATTGCATGTCCGGATAGTTGCCGTGTCTTTCAGGAATGGAGGCAGATGAGCTATGGCCTGTTCTCTAGGGGTGAAGGCAGCTGGCCCTTGTCATGAAGCTAAAGGCCCCAAAATATGTACTGTTTCCATATTGTGTGCTAGGCTGGCCTCATTGGATGTAGGGCCAGTAACGGTCCGGCTACTTTCCTGAGGTCCAGATGCGCATTTGCTTGATTGATTCTTCTCAGCGAATAGATTCTTTCCGCACACTGTGGCGACAAGCATGACCAGTCTCGCGTGAAAATGAATTTCTAACCAAGAGTGCATCTTCGCCTGGAAATGGTTTACCCTATGGCCTGATGGGCGTGTCCGCATTCAGAAACTTGTCCCAGAATTGTATAGCTTAATTGGCCACCGAGACTTTCAATTTCAACTGAGACTCTGAGTCCCCAGGGCATAATGCAATAGTTTTGCAACGCTGCCCGCTGTTGTCGGCGTGCGCATTGTAAATGCAGCCATTCGACAAGATATTCTTTTGTCACTTGAAGCCCGCGAAATCAGTAGTGCAAATCTGCCAGCGTGAAGCGCCAGGACTGCAAAACCAGACGCAGTAACCTAATCATTCCTGCTTCGTAACATCATTGACAGTGGCCGCCGCCTCAAGAGAATTGAGGCCCGTAGAAATTGTGAGCATCTACGAGAATCAGCGCGAAGCGGCGGAATCCGAAGCAGCCACATCAAGGGCCGAAGTCCAAGCCCTTTCCGCAGAGCTCCGCGATGCGCAAAACTCCCTAGCTGCAAGGGACAGAGCCGGGGCGTGCAGGAACATGTCAGAAGAAGCTTTGATGGTGAGGTCGGCGGCGCACAGTGGCAAAAGTGCTACCTGAAGATCTGGTTTACATCGAAATCAAGCGAAGTTCAGCGATCACCCTTTTCCGTTCTCCATTATTGTTGATCGAGTTTTGGTTCAAACTTACCGAAATTTTGTCGCAGCGACAATGTGTGCAGTGCTCATTTGTTCCTCGCAGAGCTCAACCACTGCGTGTCCTCGATGCACACGATCCTAGTGCTTGTGCATCCGCTGAATTCAAACGATTCACCTAAATATTCAGATTCACTTAACAGGCGGGACATGAAACCTGCTGCGCAGTAATTGCAGTTGTTGCTCGAAAAAGACGCCGCTGTGAACTACATGTACTGATGATGAACTGGATCCGAACACCAGTTCGGGGAAATTGGGGAGAAGAATTGGCACTGAGCGGTACTTTGCATAATACCATTCCAAGTTTTATCCAAAAGATTCTCAGCTGGATCTATGCCAATAGGGAAATTAGAAACTGGCAGGGCGACGTTCAGCATCCTGCAAAGGTCTGGAGGTTGATGCAATGGTGTCTGTGCAATATCATGTTTGTGACGCCGAATAGTGCAGCAGCAGGGCCAGTGTAACAACGCTGACGCAACGCTGGCGCATGCGTTGACGCCTGTCAATTCTGACATACGTGCATGTGTGGAAGAGTTTCTGGGCATTGTACTTATGGCAGTGCAGCCACAAAACAGCATGAACGTCTACCAATTTTATTGCAGAGGACGAAATTTTACATTTCTTGCTGCTGAAGTTGCGTCCGTACCCCACAATGTTTGGTGGTCTTTTTGTGCCTGGCGAGCTGGCGGAAAAGCGAGGTGCTTGGGGCCATTGAGTTTAAATGAATCACGTGTACATTGTTCCTTTTTTCTATGCGCGCGTCGTCTCATTTCGTACAGTTGCGTCCTAAATCAACTGGAAGTGATCTGCAAATAGAGACAAGCGAATGCAGAGAGGCCATATTTGGATCAATAATCACCACGCTTGTGGCCTTTTGGCTCATTGATGGATCAAATGTTTCAAAGCATTGCCCAGGACAGCCGCTTGGGCGATGGGATACATTACTGAATGGCAGATAGAAGTAGCAATTTTCAGTCTGCAGTACTGAAAAGTACTTTGTAAAAATATTTGTAGTGAATAGCAACTGCTACTGCTACTTTACTGGTAGCCATTTAGTGCTAAACATTTTGCCGTTTTACCATGAGGGCGCCCCGGTCCTGTCTGCCCATCATTTCATCAGTCGGAAAGGATCTATCTTACGTTATGCTTTGTCGAAAATTCCAGTGTCGAAGCACAGATGCATCTAGAGTTTAGGTGCTTCGCCTTCGGCATGTCTTCTTGCGTCCAGTGCATCAAGGTGACGTAGATTGATTGGCTAAGCGGATTGTGCTGCGAGGCTCGCATAGCAGTGGCAGAGAAGCGCGTGGCCGAGCTGCTGCGAGACCTGAACAGCTCTAGGGCCGAAGCTGTCGACGCATCAAGGCAGTCAGCCCGGCGCGTGGCCGAAGCCGAAACGCGAGCTGAGAAGCTGGCTGAAGAGAATGCTTCGTTGATCATGGAGCTCAACATGCGCCCCACGGCCAAAGACCTTGGGTCCTGCCACAGGCAGGTAACAGCTTGAGGGAGATGCATTCTTGTGGGTCGAAAATTCGGCGCATGAACACCGATCCATGTGGATCGCGATCCGATCGGTTCTAATGATAATATAACACATGAACGCGATTGTTCGAGTCTGCGGGGGTGCTAAATGCGCTCGTTCGGAAAGACGTAACTTTGAAAATACTCAAATCAGGTGCAACGTCGAACGTACAAGGTACTTAGGCATACTTGTGATTTTTTCCATTGCATGTTAATAATATGGCGTCATATATAATTGCATGCGTACATCGCCAGTCGTTGCAGTCCAGTGCTGACGTGAGCTTTTCACTGGGATTCCCGCTGCCCTCTTCCATTCCGGCGCACGTCATGCTATATATGTATCCCAACTCAACTATGTACGTTGCATTCAGGAAGATATTGCGTATGCCCTCTTCATGAGGATGCCTCTTTCTTCATTCCAATTTGACGCAATGCCTGTTTAAGTCGGGGACCGCACCCGGAGCCTTAACAGCGGTGCAGCATGTATAAGCTGATACATCGCGTAGAGTGCTCCACGTGCCGTCCCCACACCAACACAAGATATGCGGACCGTGTTTTCGCCATTGTATGGCAAATACAATCTGTGGACTTGCACGCGCGCCTGGTGCCAGATCGCCCTTCTGGAGCGCCGCCTGCTGAGGGCCCGCAGCACCGGCGACGCTGGGTCGGCCGCGGAGGCGGGGGAGCGGGAAATCGGGGCGCAGCTGGCGGGAGTGGGGCCTCTGACGACGCGAGAGAGGATTCAGAGGGACAGAGAGATCAACAGGTTGCACCTGCAGGCGGTGGACCACCTGCCGCGGGACGTCCTGGCGCAACTTGTCCAGGTGACATCCGACCACAACGGCGGCTGCCATTGCTCTGTGCACAACCAACAGCGCTGCGTCGGTGT